CCGGCCGCCCGGCCCGGGACGCCCCGTCGCTGCCAGCCCCAGCCGGTCCCAGCTGGCCGTGCCAAGCTCGGGCAGGTCTCGCTTTAGGTTTGCAATACCTCACTGCATTCTCACTTAATTTTTACAAGAGGCATCACTGTCATAGCAAAGTCTATTGTTCAAAAGCACGTGGATTTGGCAGGTTGTTACAGTCTGCTCTTAAATAACGATGACAATTTATTCTTACAGGAGCAGATACGGCACTTCGTGGGGCTGCATAGTGGGGCTGGTCTGCTTCCACTTCAACAGCCGCGCCAGCACTTCTTCTCCACTCCCCGTTGTCTTAAATGCGTTGTTATCTGTCCAGACCTCCACGGAGGACAGGGTAACTGCTAGGTTAAGAGACCTGAACATCTGAAAGTTTAACAAGAGAAGTGGCTGCTCCCGTACGTCTCATTTCAAGCGCTGTTTAAATGTTTGTTCTCATTAGCAGCCACGCTGCTTCGGGAAAACAGACGGGAGCAGTTGGCAACTGATGACTGCTTTGTGTGTGTGTCATGGAAAGGGTGAAGGAAATATAAAATGGAAAGACACAGAAGCGTATCCAAAAGAGCAAAAAAAAATTAGCTCAGTAAGCAGGATCTAATAAACCCAAAGACAACCTAAGCTTCAATAGAGATATTAAATAATCAAACGTACAGAATACACAAACTTGTCCTTGCCTGCATTTTTCAGGTTTCCAGGAGGAAACACTATACTCCCTCTGATTTTGAGTCAAACGCTCACCCAGCTGCGTACGCTGCGTACTACACAGGCAGGAGAACAACAGACTCGCTCCCCGAAGACAGAGAGATGGAAGGGAGTCGCGGTGGCTGCGGGCGCCTGCCTACGCGCACGACGGTCCCTCGGTGGAGCACGGGCCACGGGACAGCGCGTTATCTCAGAGATTTCAGGCATAGGCACTGCTGGACTCCAGAGCAGCACGGATGTAGAACGTGTGTTTGTGTTGGGCAGCGAGGGGTAAAATCCCCTCCACACCTCCTACCCCGCTCTGGCAAGTCCTAGACAAACCTGGAGCTCCGACAGATTAAACCAAACAGTCAGAAGCTAACAAGCTGAGACTCCGTATTTCCAGAAAGCATGTTTAATTATTATCTTCTCAGAAATTAGACAAATCCTCCCAATACCTAGCCATTAGTTGGCTGAAATAAGCCATCAAAATTTCCATCTCAGTACATATAAACCAGGAAAAACTTACACCGCTGAGCAAGCTGGAGACCTGAACTATCTTCCGTGTCACAACATAGTTGCCTGCACCCAGGTGGTCGTACTGAAAAATGACAAGAGATTATACCTAGGTTATTTGCCACGCTGAAGCACACGAGGTTGTCACGATCTTTCTCAGAGCGGCTTCTACCCGCTGAGACACGGCCACCAGGCCCAGACCGTGCAGAGCCAGGCAGGGCCCACGGCAAAGCTTCATCGCAGCGCCAGCAAGGGCAAAGAAAATAAACACAGAAGAGGGACTGCCTGACACGGACTTACCAAAGCCCTTTCCAAAACTATGTGGAGTGCTATCTCTCTCTGGTATTTGGACGCTAACTGGAAAAAAAAAAATTCTTCACTGTTAATAATTCATTTCTCCATTTCAGTCACGAGGCATAAGAAATGCTGACTTGTCTGAGGGGCTGAGACACTCAACCCTCCACGAGGCATTGCCATCTGCTAATCTTGTTTTCAGGGCAGAAAGCAAAAGCTGTACATTAACACCTAGGACAACACTGAAGCCTTTCGCTGAGAACATTGGCTCTCGGCTCAGCTGAACATCGGGGCCCTGGGACGCTCGCATGAACTCCACGGCCAAAGTAGCCAGCACAGCACTGCCAACCGTCTGCAAACTGGAGGGGAAAATACCCCCACTTTTACAAATCCATCAATAAATCCTGCACCCCTTGGCAATGGCTCTCGTAGGCACTAGATGAGTAACGATCCACGCGACACCCCATCGCAAGCACTGGCGCTCCTAAACGCCCCCCTCTCATCTCTGTCCGTCCAGATGACACCGGACAACGCTTCCTGCGGGATCGGACCCCTCCTCGCGTGACGGGGACACTGGCATCACCGCGAGGACGGGCACCCACTCACTTCATCATCTCCACGTGCTTTCTTCGACACCTCCTCCGCTGTCAGCCCGCCGGGCCCTCTCTCGCGGTGGCTGTTGGCAAAGAGGGAACCTGCCATCTTCTCATCACTCACTCGGTACACAAAGTGCTCGAAGGCAGGAGAATAATCCAGGGGCTCAATCCCATAGCTGACGT